CTATCTCTCTTCCTCCCTCTCCCTCTCTCCCCTTTCTCTCTCCATCTCTCCCTCTCCCCCTTCCTCCATCCCCTTGTGTCATCATCACAGCGGGCATCTAGTTCGTCGGGGAGATGAGAATTAGCGGGGCCGCTTGGTGACGCGGCCGCTGCGGCGCAGAGGAAGGACGTCTCCGAGACGAGCAGCAAATAATACCATATATACGCTGGAAACCCAAGTGTGTGAATATCACACTTATAGGTGTGTGAATCTCAATTCGTACACGTCAGGGAATAAAGGCGTGAATTTCCTTTTTTCTTTTAAATGCACGCCTTGTGGTATCCATCTGTACGAATAATGGCGTTGACACACCTACATCACTCACTTTGGTTTCTACTGTAGCATGCCCGCGTATTTGAAAGCATTTACGGAGCTACGGAAAATTCGCATTCACATTGACATAGTGAAATGTTTTCTACCGGATTGCGCCCCGCCCCCTCTCCCCGAGCCCCACTTTCGGCTCCTACTTTCGGTGCCCGGGTGCCGTTCGCTCAGGATCGACCCCTTCTGCGGCCCGCAATGTAGTTTTTGTCTCCGCTCTTCCTCTCTCCTCCTCTTGTCCCCCCTCCCCCCGCTTTCCTCTTTCCCTCGCTGGCTTGGCTCGTCTAATGTGTTCTCCCATTAATCTTTCCTAAGGTCTTTCCAGTCCAGCGGAAGCCGACGTGACAAGCTGTGAGGGTGGCGGTTCCGCCCGGGCAGGCCTTGGCCACGGCCGCCCCCAGGAGTGTAGAGGTCCCGGGCAGAGGATCATCTCTTTGACCCTTCCAATTTTTTCCCACAACAACTGTAGCTAATCCCGGCAGAGGTTCGACTTTCACCGTGTGGTCCCCTGTTATCTTGCGATGATTTGCACGCAGACTGAGATTTTCGTCAGGGCATAGGATTGGAGATGGGAGATGGGCGAGATGGGCGAACAAGTTTAAAATTGTAGTTTTCAATTCTGTCCGCCTACGAACTTCTGTTGGAGAAGTTCCCAAGAATTTTGATTTCAAACACCTCACGTTCGTGTTCGAGCGATCACGAACAGCTCGGTGGTCATTCGAGTTCGAGCGATCACGAACAGCTCGATGTTCGTTCGAGTTCGAGCGATCACGAACAACTTGATGTTCGTTCGAGTTCGATCGAATGCGAACACGCTCGCCCATCTCTACATAGGATGAGAACTTTCAGAACCACCAAAAAAACTCGGTTTTTAAAGAAGAATCTGTCAAACTCGAAACCTTACATGGCCACATATCTCGAATAGGCTCCATTGCCCCTATTTTGCCATGAAATATCGCGAAGCCTTGTTTGGCCTGCATTTAATTCTAAAGTAAACTTTTCACCATAGTTGAAGATTACTTGTTTGGGATTTTTAAGCTGTGAGCCCAACTAACAGAAATATGTAGAAGGGGTCTGCTGAATGCATAACACTGCTTTTAAAAAGGCTGCAGGCCGTTTGTGTGTGTGTGTGTGTGTGTGTGTGTGTGTGTGTGTGTGTGTGTATGAGTACGCATCACTCCCTGGAGCCGCAATTGCAGCGTGCTGGCGCTGGCCTCGTACGAACGGGGCTCGCCTCGCTGGCCCCCAAAAAGGAAAGGGGGCTATTCATGGTATATTATATTGTAGAATTTTTGATTTTATTTATATGCGAGGCCTAGAGCTCACCCGCATGCACACATCCACACGGCTTTGCAGACACTGTGCGCAGCGGCAAGGTACGGGCCTCTCGAGTGGCTCTTCATCACGGAGTCGAGGCGCAGGCCTTCCGATCGCTAACGATGCGAAATGGAATAAAAGCTCCCCAGGTTTTTCGGCTCGTCCAGGACCTCCATGCAGGCGGTGAGGATAGAAGGTTGGAAACCCTATAACACACCCCAAAAAATGTGTCCTCAATTCAAGATGATACCCAAAATTTTAAGGCAAATAGGGCTTAATTTAATCCCTGTTTACTTAATTTAAGTGTAAATAGGGGTTAAAATTATAACATTTGCCTTAAAATTTTGGGTATCATCTTGAATTGAGAACACATTTTTTGGGGTGAAAATTTTCGGGAAATTTTTCGAAATTTTCAACTCTAAGGAGGAAGGGGGGAGGGAAGGAGGAGGTGAAGAGGAGTAGGAGGAGAAGGAAGGGCGGCGTTGCAGCTCACAAGGGAAGGCCCACCAGCCCGGCGAGTGATGTAGGGCGCTGCTGTTACACATACCTAACAGCGAAAATGTGAAGGTGAATGTGAGGTTGCCTCACGTGAAGCCTTTTTATCGATGGTGTTTTATCTGTCTTTTCGACGGATGTCTTGACTACTACTACCTGCGGCTGGTGACAAGTACAACATTTAATACTTAAAAAAAAAAATAAAAAAAAATTGCCTACTGTAAAGGGGGATTCAAGAAAAAGCGAGCA